ACTCGTCGCGTCGTTCTCGTCGTGAGATTCACCTATACGTCGTATCTTACGCGAGCGTCCGTCGTAGTCACCAATGTTTAGATTCAACGTATTTTCGAGCACGTACCTCCGCAAAGATGCGATTGACGAACGTGTTTCGTTCAATGCAATTCCGTCGTTTTCATGTCTCTCCAGAGACATGCCAAACTTGTTAACATACATGACGTCTTCGGTGTGTGAACCGTACTGCCGACACGATTGATGAAACCAGGTTAATTTATAATGAATCCAGCCTCGCGAAGCTCCTCGATTATCGATAGAATTTCGTTGTCGTGAGCGTTGTTGCCAGCGAGACGAGAAGAATCGAGCAATCGAAGACGATCTGTTAATTCGTTGGGATCGTCCCAGTGAACGTAATCTACTTTGTTATCGGTTACTCTCATGGTTGACGGGACGCGGGTCGCACCCGCGCCTTTTTTCTTATCACCGCGAATGAGCAGACCGATAATCATACTGTACTTGTAACCCTTGTTACCCATGATCGGCATACTCGCGCTGCGACCGCGTCTGTGAGCGTTTGTCGTCAGCAGTATACTCTTATACGTTTGCAAATCGTTTTTGGTGTATACAAGATCGTCGGGGAGTCGTTTGAAAATCAATTCGTACAGACCGGGTGTTGAAAATGTTAGTCTCATATTCGCTACACGGCTACGCCGATGTAATTCACTTTCTGCCGTTACACGGCGCAGGCCTCTACGAGGCGATCAACGATCTGTCTGCCGTTACACGGCGCAGGCCTCTACGAGGCGATCAACGATCTGTCTGCCGTTTCACGGCACAGGCCTCTACGAGGCGATCAACGATCTTTCGGCCGTTACACGGAACAGGCCTCTACGAGGCGATCATCTCTCTTTCTGCCTTTACACGGCGCAGGCCTCTACGAGGCGATAGTCGTTCGTCTGTTTCCCCCTCCCTTCCGAAGTGAGTGGTCAGGCGCGAACTGCATCTACTGATTAGTTCGCCGACCGCCGCTAGGCCGCGCATGGCGACCGGCAACTCGGAATCAAAATCCAGTCTCGGGGGTTATATAAGGAGGCCCGCGTGGAGGCCAGTTCAGTATTCCAATGGGGTAACCTATCGGGACGATTCCCTTGCTGGAAGAGTCCTCGATAACATTCGCTGTTGGTTTTACCAACGGGAGCAGAGAACATCGCAATCGCTGTTGGTTTTACCAACGGGAGCAGAGAACATCGCAATCGCTGTTGGTCTTACCAACGGGAGCAGAGAACATCGCAATCGCTGTTGGTTTTACCAACGGGAGCAGAGAACATCGCAATCGCTGTTGGTTTTACCAACGGGAGCAGAGAACATCGCAATCGCTGTCGTTCCTAACGACGGGAGCAGAGAGGCATCAACCTGGGCGTCTGCAGTAACCAGCGGCTTTCCACGAGGTCAACTCAACGCCTTCCTCACCACAACGGAAGAAGCGACGGCACACCACCCAGCCGTCCAGCTCTCCAGAGGAAACTCTGCCAAGGAAGAAGAGCCAAATACGCATTCTATCTGTGGTGACGGTACCTCAAGCCGAACGAGTCACCAGACCTCCTCCGCCACGGCCAGAGCAGCCTCTCCAGGAGAATTTCATTCCTACTACGCCGCCGCGGGCAATAACTCCTGATTACACGCTCGCAGGCCTATCTTCATTTGTTAAGCAGGAGAAGCAGCCAATTTCTCCAACTACATCGGCAAATTCACCAACCGATACTCTCGTACCGTGGTTATTAGAACGCTTAAAGCCCGTGTCCCACTACGTACTGCGGACGCGGATTGGATTGGGATTACGGATTGCGGATCGAAATTCAACCAATCGGGTTCAAGGCCGCCTCGTCTGATTGGCTGAAATGTGATCCGCAATCCGTAATCCCAATCCAATCCGCGTCCGCGGTACGTAGTGGGACACGGGCTTAACGCTACCACCACCGAGATTTAGCCGACCACGGCACCCACCTCTAGGACCACTGGATCCACGGAATTCACGGCCCATCTCACCGAGTTCCGACATAACCACTGCGGACAAGTGGACCCAGACAGGCTCCTACGCTACAGCATGGAAACAGAAGCAGCAGGATAGACGAAATCCGCTGTCTCAACTAACTAATTCGAAACAGTTCTTCTAAGAACTAACCACCGGCCCTTCTCAGGGCCCCAATCGATCAAACGAAGAACCTCTTCTTGTCGTCTGGCAATAAGTAACGTAGCGCCCACGTAACCACAATCGCATTTCAAACACTGGGAGTACCGACGTACCTCGTTCCATCGATGATCATCGCATCGTCCTTGTCCACGTCGAATCGCTTGTCACCGAGTTTAGTCCCATCCTTGCTGACGTACACACCGTAAACGTGATCGTTCGCATTCTTGTTCTCTCCGCCGAGAAGATCGCCTATGTATTTTTGTCCCAACGGTCCCAATTGACTATGCAACAAATCATGACCTTGCGCCGTTTGCAGAGTCTCTCTCGCAGACGTTTCGAGCGAGATCGGCGCCTCATCCGTCTCGTACACTTCTTCTTCCCGTTCCACGTATGGTGTAACAGTCGTTCGCGATTCTATCGGTGTAGATCGAATCATCTTGCGCGATTCTATTGGCGTGGAACCGATTGTGGGTGAGGCTGCGGTCTCGATAGGCCATTGTTGTTTTGTTTTCACCTTCAAGGATTCGTCTGGAGTTGTCGCTTTGAAAACATCGTCGTCGTCGTCGTCGTCGTCGTCGTCGTCACCATAATCGTAGGTGCTCTCCTTGCGTGCTGTCTTCGCGAGAACGGCTCCATCGGATGAGTTTTCGACACGTTCGGCGATGCGTTTCAACGGTTCGACTATCGGCTTGAAATGTCTCTCCAAAGCGATCTCCTTCAGGTTACCGGTTTTCAGAGCGCGATGTTTCTTACCACACTTTAGAGGGGTGTTCATGCGCGACGATCTACCCGTAAAAGCCCGACGTCAGGAGTGTGGCATCGTAAATCTCGACGACAAGGTGGGTCCGGGTACACATTGGGTTGCCTATGCGAAAAAGG